GAGAGAGGAGATTCCCCTTCCCTTTTGTAAAGCTGCCATTGTGCTGCAATGTGTGGATGTACAGTTTATTTAGCCAGTCCTCTGTTGGACATTTGGGTTATTTCCAGTGTTGGTCGTGTTGCAGTGGAATACAGGTTTCCTAATTTTCCTAGAGGATAGATTTCTCAAAGGGGGACTGCTTTGTAAAGGATAAATACATACATCTTGGCAGATGTTGTAAATCAGCCTGTTTGGGAGATGTACCATTTTTATTTCCACTAGTCACGAATAACAACAGTATGATGTCATTTTTTTTTCCTTCTGCTAACTTTTTAGTTATATATCCTTGTATACTTTTTTTTGGGGGGTGGGGGCTGTTTACCCTAGAGATTATAATGCAGATCCTTGGCTTATTATAGTCTACCTTATAATAATACTTTTATCATACCCAAACAGTGCAAGCACCTTATAGCAACTTGACTTTTTTTCTTGCCATCCTTTATGCCGTTGTTTTAATTTGTTTTCCTTATACATATGTTATAAACACAGTAAGACAATTGTTATTTTAGAAAATCCATATTCCTTTATGTTTGCCCACTTAGGTGCCATTTCCAATGCTCTTAATTCCTTGCTGCAGTTCTTTCTTCTATCAGGATTGTTTCCCTTCAGCCTGAAGAACTTTTTTTCATATAGTAAGTGACTGCTTTAACGACTCCTCTATGCTTTTGTTTGAGAAAGCCTTGATTTGCCTTAATTTTTAAAAGAGATTTACCTCAGATGTAAAATCCCATGCTAGCACTTGGTAATTAATGTCTTCTGGTTTCCATAGTTTATGTTTAAAAATCTTACTGTTACCCTTTCAAGGCAATGCTTTTCTTCTATGGCTTCTTTTAAAATTTGCTTTTTCAAATTTTATTAATTTTTAATAGTTTGACTATTAGACGTATATAGTGACTTTTTTTTTTTCGTTTTTAATTTGCTCAGGTTTCACCAAGCCTTTGTATCTATGAGTTGATTCCTTTCATCAGTTTTAGAAAATTGCTGGCCATTATCTCGTCATATATTGTTTCTCTTATCTCATTATCTCTTTGAATATTCTCCTTCCTTTCCTTCTGGGAATATCAAGCTCATACATGTTCATACTTTGGACTTCATCTACTGTGTCTCTCTAGCTCTATTTTATTTTTGTTTTTCCCAGAATTTTTCCTTTTGCTCAGTTTGAAAACTTTTTATTAATCATTTTTCAGATTCACTAATTCTTTTTTCTGCTATTTTCTTCAGTCTTTGGTTAAAACCCTCAGTGACTTTAAAATTTCAGATATGATGTTTCCCAGTTCTAGGTAGTTATTTGATTTTTTTAAATAATAAGATTCCAATTTTCTGTTGAGTTTCTTTATATTCTTACCATTTTGTCCACCTTTGCTTATATTTTCAAATTATTAATCATAGTTATTGAACACTTATAATTCTAGTGGTGTTAGTCTGCTTCTGGTTTTTTTTTCCCCCTTTTGATTATTAGTCACATATTCTTCTGCTTCTTCATATGTCTGGTAATTGATTATATGAACTGAAAGACCCCAAACGATGCTTTCCTCTAGTGAGGGTTTCCTCTTTTTCCATGTTAAACGGAAAGGGTCAGGAGCAGATCAGTTTGCTCTAGTCAGGGCTTTAGCTTGCTTTGACTGAATTACAATTTTTATATGACTCATTTCACCTCTGGCTCATCCGTTTCTCAGTTGTGACCTCCCAGGGTTTTTAATGATTGAGAACCTTGCAAGTCTCTGTCTATTTAGACTTTATATTCATTATGCAGTTTCAAAATGTGGCAGATGTCTTGGGGGTGGGGCACTGGCTGTGTGTTTGAGGCGGGCCTCCTCCCTCTCTGGGGACTTTGTCTTCTGAGCACCATCAGACCACAGGAGTTTTTATTCTGTCTTACCAAAACCTCTGAGTCAAACCCAGCCGTCTTCACAGCTCCAGAACTCAGCAAGTGTCCGGTGGGGCCAATTCAGTTGAACGTATCAGCCTCCTGTGACTCCATGAAGTGCCACAGCTTCTCTTTACCTCTGTATCAGCAGTTGGCAAACTACAAAAATTTGGTCCCAAGGACCAGATTTGGTCTCTTGCTTGTTTTGATACAGCCTATGAACTGAAAATGATTTTTACATTTTTAAATGGCTGAAAAAGTTTTAAAAGTTTAATATTTTGTGGTGTGAAAGTTAAATGAAATTCGAATTTCAGTGTCTATAAATAAAGTTGGATTGAAATACAGCCTTGCTCAGTTCACATATTGCCTGTGTCTGCATTTGTGCCACAGGGCCAGGGTCCAGTAGTTGCAGAGCCCAAAACATTTACTGTCCGGCTCTTCATAGAAAATGTTTTCCTACCAACCCTGATCTGTGATGGTGGTTTTCAAAGTGCGGTCTTTGGATTCCTGGGAGGTTCCTTGCCTTTTCACTGTTACTTGGATTTCATTTATTCTGATGGAGGTATTTAGAGGGATATAGCATTTCCTTTGACGTCTGGGCATCGTTGTTTAAAAGGCTTTTATTATTGCAGAAGGCTTTTTTGCTCTCTAGATATACATGTTTTTAAAAGCAGCTATGTGTTCAAGGTAGCAGTTCATAGTAGTCTTAGGGATATTATTTTTTGTTTTAGCTGTTAAAAACCAATCAATTTGGCTCATTTAAAAAGATAAAGATTTAAAAAACAAAAAATATATAAATAACTGTGATACCATTTTAAGGCAAAGTAAATCCAACTAATTTAATTCTGTCTTGAATTGTCAGCAGCCTGTCTTAACTTTGGAATAGATCTGGCCTTTAATTGGGATCCAAAGAAGACAAGCAGCCAATTACCATGTAAAGTCACACTGAATACCTAGTAAAAATTTTCTTACATGGTTAAAAATAATGGGTTTTTTTTCCCCTTGTGAAGGTTCTAAGGCCCAGCAGCTTCTGCAAGGACTACAAGCAAGTGATGAAAGTCAGCAGCTCCAGGCAGTTATTGAAATGTGTCAATTATTGGTCATGGGAAATGAGGAGACACTGGGAGGGTTTCCAGTCAAGAGTGTCGTTCCAGCTTTGGTAAGATAAGACTTTTCCCCTCATTTTATCTCTTCTGAATGATGCCCATATTTTTACTAAAAGCATGATTATTGTCATTGGGAATTTTAAAATTTGACAGGACCAAGAGATAGTCAAGTGTGGCTTAGTGCTTTTATTTCGTGCTTATAGAGATTGTGAGTGACTGTTAATGATGAAGTAGTAAAATTTCTAAACCATTTCTTGATGAATGACTACTTACATTATCTTTGATACTTAAATGACTGGCTTTTAAATTTTAAGTTGTTACCCCCATCAGGTAATATACTATGCCAAAACACATGCTTTTGCTTTTTCACATGGGACGATAGAGGCAGCTCTATTGTGGGTTGTCTTTGTGGGCCACGAAAGTTGCAGGCTTGATAGTCGTGTGCATGGCAGAGCAGTCGGGCTAGAATACTGCATGGATCCTTCCAGCCAAACAGGTTTTATGTTAGGCAAAACAAAAGAAACAAAACAATACTCGACAATAAAAAAAACAGTTTTAAAAGATCTTTTAACGGTTTTCAACACAGTTGTGAGTTGATATTTAGAATTTATTAATATCGTTAATCACTTAAGCTTTTTAATGTGAAAGCAATAGGAAGAGGAATTGCCATTACCAATGTAGGCCCTGGAGCATAATATATCTTTTAAGTAGTGGCTTAGTAATTTTCTCAGTGTGAGATGAAAGAAATTGGCTATAATTTAAGATTAAAATTAAGTCTGAATGAAATAATAACAAAAGACTAACATGCGTCATGGGTACATTCATACCATATTTTACCTTGGAAGTTAAAATAAATA